GCCACAAATGCAAAGTTTTCTCCCCCACCGGGTGGTGATTTCAACCTCACAGCTGTGCAGCAACAAACACCAGCCCCAAGTTTTCTTTTGCCCACATCCTTCTTTCCTCACTCCTTCCATACGCCTCGCCCGTCATCTTTCTGGGGAACCCACGCCTCGCCCTCGTACACATCCCCGAACACACTGCACATACCCCATAGGCCGCTTCTCTCCACTGCGGCTGCCAAGAATAAGACAGGCTGATGTTGGGGCCCCACGGGGGGAGGCCCCCGCACTGGTGAAGTAGTGCTTCTTCAGCCTGAGCGCTCTGGTGAATTCATACACTTGGCTCTGTTTACTTAATATTCAGTCAGCTGTGGGGAGCGGGGTTAGCCACAGCTTATAAAACTCAGTCAGTATGACCAAGATGTAACCCCTCACTCCTCTTTCTCCAACAACCGCACAGAGAGACTCGTGCGTGCACAGATACACCCGAGAACATGCGCTCTGTAACATGCTGAAACACTTTGTCCCATAGGCTTCACCGTTAAAGAGCACAAAATATGACAAGACAATCCAAGTCCTTCCTGGTTCTGTGTATGAACACGTTGACAGGGATAAATATAGTGACTTTTCATGGTAGCGCACTTTTTAAAGTGACTTCATCGGGTGAGATCAGAGAAAATACTGAAAATGAATTAATCAAATGGAATTCACTGTAACCGGTAGAATCTTTTTAAAGCAATCACTGACAGTCTGGCTCTGACCGAGTTATAATCCCATTTAAGGATTAAATACAACAAATGTATACAACAATGACACAAAAGAATAAAGTTTGAAAACAAGCACCATACATGGCCACATTGCCGAGAAGATTTAAGCAGAGAAAAAAGTTACGGGTCGCTTTACAGCATACTGTCATTGAACAATCAGAATTTGTCCTCCTCACACATCATCAGTGAACTCAGGGATGTAATGAGCTTCACCGTTGGAACGGTTGAACAGGAACAAAGCGGAAAGCGAGGGAGCTCCAGCAAAACATCAGCTCTGTGCATGAATGTGGACGAATATGGATTCGTGTATGAGAGAGGGGGTGGTGGGGTAGGGGCTTAATAATTCTCACAGAGGCACATAGTCATTACCCTGCTGTGAGCGATCCCAGCATGCTCCATCTATGCCTCGACTGGAAGGCTCCCATGGCAACCTCCGGGGTCAGAGTTCACGGAGAAAGGTTGCTTTTATCTTCTAATGAGGTCGGTACCTGGGGCTCATTGTCTCTCCGCCTCTGTCTCTCTGCATCTCCCCTGTGCATTTTGAGGACAAGGGTGGGGGGGGGGGGGGGGTCATGAATACTTGCCAAGTGACACCAATGCCATCCTCACTCATCCCCGCAATCGCCTCCAAGACGGCGTTGCAAGGGTGGGGGGGGTTTGGTCGTATTAGGTTCTGCCCTGTTGGGCGGATGAAAAGCGGCTCAGAAATGACTGTCCGGCAGTCTGGCTCCTCTTTGTGAATCAGGTGTTCACATGCAAATCAACAATTGCCTCACGAGCCCCGTGGATCCCTTTTACCTTCACTTTATCAGTTCGATGGATTACCTTCGCAACAACATGGTTTGTGGAGTGTTCTACGTACTCTTTGGAGTCTTAAGATTGATGTTATGCGTGTTAAACACAAATCAGTGCTGCCAAAAGAGTCTTGACAGAACAGTCAAACAAACCTGTGATTAACACTCGTCTTTTTTGAATCACTAGCTGGATTTATAGAGAGCGACACATCCTCGGAATCATGGACCGCTTAAAACAAATGTCCGTTGAAGGAGCCGCGGCGCTTTCCTTCGGGCGAGCTGTTTAATGCCCATGGAAAACACACTTCCCTTGTCAATGTGATCACAATATATAACACAAGGCTCATTGGCCCATGTGCCCCTTCAATGGGGCAAACAGGCACCCTCACCAACCCCCGCCCCTCTCCCACACACCCCTTTACTCTCTCACACACGCCCCCTGTCATGTTGGCGGGACTGAGAAAGGAGTCCATTAACTCTGATTTAGTGGCAGTGTCATGCGGTCCCCTTTGTGAGGTGCTGACATTCAGTGAATAGGAATCAGAATTTGCACCCCCTCCTCCTCCATCTTTCCTTCTCTCGGCTCCACGCACAGGGCAGCCTCTGTGTTGCTGCCGTAGGACTGTGAGGGGATCAGCGTTGTACCAGAGGGGAAGGGGGGGCAGGGGGGGTGTGGGGGTGGGAGCTGCAAGATTGAGAAGGTTTTGCTGCCACATGTCTCTGAGTGGCGGACTCTTTGTGTCCGGGCCGGCCCTGTTTGTTTAGCCTTTCCTCAGAGAACTGCTTCACACATCGGTGCCTCATGCAGAGGACCAAAGGGAGCAGCTATGAGAGGTGAGGGGACAGGATGAGACTACGCAAACGACAACAACAAACAAGAAACAGCGTTTGAGAAGCTGGCACCATTTTGTCAGAAACCTTTTCTATGTCTTGCTATGAGTCAATTACTGAAAGGAGAAAATAAACCAGTATTTTCTTCCAGACTAACGTTAGAATAAGGATTAGCAGGAGAATACTTAACAAGCACCTTCTTCAGGAAACACACAGAGAAATCAAACTCCTGCTACGTTTGGTAATTCCTCATTCCAAACAGCCAACAACAATACTAGGCTGAAAGATTTATCATGTCATATTTTAAAGTTGCGGAAAGTTTTCGAAAGAAGTTTAACATGCATTTTATTCCTTCAAATGTAGCGTAACTAACTTTTATATATATTCTTCAATTACACCTTATCAATCCATGGAGAAATGGAATATGAGCACATATATCCAAAAGAAGGTACTGCTGTCTTTGCATTGAGTTTAAAAGTTGACCGTGCTAACTTTAAAGTGCCCTCACAGCTGTCATTCATTGGTATCTGTGGCTGCCGCTCGTGACCTTTGGAGAGTCCATCCATTTCGGACTAACCTCTCCCACCAGCCATGGCGAGGGGGTCACAACGGGCCCAGGTCTCAGGCATGCCGACGCAGGAGGAGCCCCGTCCCACGTGATGAATAGGAAACAACGGGGCAGGGAGGTCAGGCTGGATTATTCTACCCTGCTCTCTTGGAAAAATAAAAAAACAAAATAGGAAAATATTTACACAAACAGGAAGCGTAGAATTTGCTAATGATTGGAAACACATTGAGCTAATTTGTGTAGCTCTCTCTCACATTCACCAACACACACACACACACACACTTATAAGATTTAGTACCAAAATAGGAAACAGTTTGACAGCAAATTCTAGATAGTGGAATGTTTAAACCCAATCTCAAAGCCCATTAACGTTGTTGAGTGTGGGCTTCCCTCCAGCAATGTTAGATCAACCATAATAACATGCGAGTTTATGGACCTTTGCTCCCCAAATGTCTACCATGTTTCTAATTGCGTACATCTGTGGCTGGTGTTTTGATGTTTTGTCTCAATGTGCAGCTGTCCGTTCCCAACAGCCTGTGGTTAAGATGCCATCATCATCTGTGTCCACCTCTTGATGCCAAGTGATGCGTTTGGCTTGTGATTCACCTGAAGGTCTTTGCGTCAAGTCCCACGTTTTACTTAGTTATTGTCTATAATTAAAATAAAGGAATAGACATTCATTGGTTTTATGTAAATTAAATGACAAAACGCACATTCAGGATGCAAAAACCCCCAGAGTTGTTTATGTTTGACACAAGCTATTTCATCATTAAAATAAATGTGAATCCTAAATCTGGTGGACTTTAACCGAACCACCACAACCGTTTGGAAAATATGTTGTGTCTATATTTAGCATTACGTACCTCTTACGTCGCAGGCCTCCAAAACATAAATGTTCACATTAACAAAATGTTAAAGAACTTGATCATAAACACCTGTTCTCCTTTTGTTTATTGTGGCCGTGTTAAACTAATACAAATAGAGTGGATAGATTTATTTTTAACTATTTATGTTGCTATTTTGACATTTCCATGATTTTCGCTTGGCTGTCTTACCTCTATTAGTTATATGACGTATTAAATAGGGAATATCGTTATCGCGTCCCTAAGAATCATGAACACACAGTCTTGTTTTGACGGGACCAATGTCATATTTCAACCTGGGAAATGTCCATTAAGCTAAGAGGTTAACGTGGTCCCCACCATCCACAGACACTCACAAATAAAAACACACAAATACACGCACACATACTCTTTATCATTCTTCATAGTTAACGTCTGCTTAAATTGTTTTTGCCTTTATCGGTGGCTCTGTGTCGGTTTCCTCTGCTGCACTTATTTGTCCACGTAGCAACGTTTGATTAAAATGTTGCACATTTACATTGTGGATTATTTAACTATGCGTTCCTTGAGTTGGTTTATATTGGGTAGCAGGCGTCCACACTACTGTCTTGTGTCTTGCTGTGCCATCAGAGGAGGGATCAGCGCAAATGTGTGCTGTGTGTTCCCCAGTGAAACTCGATCCTGAGTAATTGTCAGGATAAGGCGAGGGATTGACCTCTGCCATGAACCATATTTTCTGAAACAACACACACTTGAGCTAGCTTTGAAATATCCTCTCCTTCAGGACTCGAGTGGCCCACGAGGAAGCTAGTCATAAACTTTTTTTAGTGTAACTAAACAAAGCCTGTCGTAATTTCATTAGCCTACTCTTACATTCATGGCGCGCATGTAGGTGGTGGGTGCCCTGCTCTTCCAGACGGTGTCTCTCTGCTGGTCCTTGAATCACATGCTAGAAACGTGAAGCGCGAGTTTATCTGGGCAGGACCGGGATGTTCCCCACAAGATTGTAAAGTAGGAGTTCCTATTTTTCCCATTTAATAAAAGCAATCCTGAATCCTTCTAATGATGCATTGAAGGCCGCAGTAAATCAATTCACAAAGCTCTGCTATTGAACCTCGATGCCAATGTGGTCATTGTTATTCCAAGCGAGCCTCCGAGACTGTTACATTGTGTATTTGTGACTGATTTGTTGGAAATGTCACATAGCCATGTGTCATGTAGTAAAAAAAGAATATATTTTTATTAAAAGCTCTTGTCAATAATTTCACATTACCGAAAAACACACGTCTTTCCTCCCAAAGTCCCGCTCCGTCCAAATGTGGTGCGTTTGCATCTTCAGTATTGTGACACCTCGGATCCTGCAGCATTCAGCTTGCATTCCTTGCATCCCAGATTCCCCGTCTGCCCCACCTCTTAAGATCCCTGCCCCAGTATGAAGGAATCAGACAGATGCAGGATCTGGCAGATGGCGGGTGAGTTCATGGTCAAATGACATCCACGTCACGCATACAGTACGGACTCCCTACCACTAGCACATAAAGGCAGCAATGAATGGATTGATTCTCATCAGAAATCCGGTTTTCTCCGGCAATAATAGTGAGGATCTGGTGGAGAAAATTGTGTCGACTTCTATCAGTGTCGGAGCTGCAGGGTAATTGGACTTGGATCAAAGACATTCATGTCTTTCAAAGCGGTCTGAAGGGCTGCTCAGTTTTTAGTAATAACAGAAGCGCTTCCAGCGTTGACCTTCTACCTTCCTCTTGCCCCCTCTGCCCTACAATGGCCGCGCTTTGAAAAGCTCTAGTTGCATGGCTTCTTGAGGTAGAACCAACAATTGGAGTGAAATTATACAGTCTGGGATTTCTTAGCGTCAATCCAATTCCGCCTGCACAGAAGGACATGCTTATTAAAAATATTCATAAATCTAACTTTCACCTGGTTAAAAAAAGGGAGATCCAATGTTAAATTACTCCATTCTTGTACAAATAGGACAGATAGTGTAATTGAATAGTATGTTGATCATGTTGTGGCTGGATTTTATGGGGAACACTTTCATGGGCTGTATGTTCGAGAAGCCGGTCCAACAATTTCTTCAAATGAGTTGATTGTAAGAAAAGTGCCGGTTAATGGTTCTCCATTGTAGACAGAGATTTTAAATTACCGTACGCTATATGAATGGTTTGAGATCATGACAAACTATGTTGGAATACGTGATCTGATAGAAAAGCTTTTGTGTTTCATTACTGGTGGAAGTTTGCCCCCTTGTGTTTGAAATATTCTGTATCTAAAAAAGCTTTTAATGTTTCATCGAATGTCCTCCTACTACTGTCTTTGAAATGGTAAATGTAAGCAAAACATTGAATGAAATGAATGAAAATAGAAGGAATAAAATCATCAGATGATCCATGTTTGAAAATATTCTCCACTGTTAATTTAAACCTTTCTATCTAATTTTCTGATGCATGTTCCAAGTATAATCCAAGAAACTCACTTCCTCATCCCAGATTTACGCAGGCGTTGGATAGTGGAGCTGAACTGCAGAGCCGATCTCTCACGCAGTGAGAGAGGGCTGTCCCTGTCTCTGTCTGTGTCTGTGTCTATTTCCATTGAGGAGACCGATGTGGATGCAGAGGTCGGGTTACTGTCCCTCTCGTCCGTGGTTCCTCCATTCTGGAGATGCAGGGAAGTCTGTGGAGAAACCGATCGTGATCGGGCCCCGTCGGCATGATCGACCTGCCCCGTCCCCGTGTGTCCTTCCCGATTCCTGATTCCAAGTCCCTCCAAGTGCGCCTGAAACGTAGTGGTCTGTTGTTCCAGGTTGATGAAACTCTCCTGCAGCTGGTCAAACTGCAGAGAGAGAAGGGTTGTTACTCGTGGCAGTTATCTAAACCTATGAACAATGTCTGAGTCAGCTTTACCTGCTCCATGTTGGCCTGAAGCAACAGCTCTGGCCACACTGACTCACTGCCGCCGCTCCCACTGTTGCTTAGTTTTGCGTTACGCCATGTTAACTCCTGTGGGACGGGGCAGAGTGGATTTGTGAGGGAAGACAGCAGAACACTGCACAAGTAGCCTTTTCTTGCATGAGGGGAACTTTACCTGCAGTAATTGTGTGCTTTCCTCCTGGAGAGCCTGGCAGGACTGGAGTCTGTTCCTGTAGCGCCCCAAGACGGTAAACAGAGTCTTTGCCAAAGACGTAGGAAATTACAAACAACGCACAAGGGCAAGCGCAGGAAAAATGTCAGGCTCAGTTTCAAAAAAAAAAAAATGAAAACGAAGACAACTCGAACCGCCTGTACTTTTATTCATTTTTCAATTTTTTTGCGTAGGATAATGTGCCATATAAAAAAGACGTTCCTGGCCTTAAATGTATTTCAATGTAAATGGAAATTGAATTGCCCAAAATGTATTTTTGACAGGGGTATCTCCCCAAACAAATGGAATACACTTGAATACCAGCAGCACAAAACTGCAGACAGACCTTCACCACTGCTTACCTCTGCGTGCGTCCCGGCAGAGGCCAGGTCTCCGCGGCCTCCGCCCCCCTCTTTGGTGAGCGTAACCCCGGTGTGGAGCTCCTCCAATTGAGCCCAGAGGCCTTGTAGGCCCTCAAGCATGTCCTTCACCCTGGCTTCAAAATCCTCCTGCACCTGGACGAGTCTGCACAATGACCTCGACCTGTTGGAAGGGAAAGCAATGTGTGATGTGTTAATCCAACTGAACACATTTCCCATGACAGCAGATGGCGTGTAGACTGGAGGTTGAGCCTTACCTCTGCTGCAGGTATGTGTGGATGACCTTCACTTTGTCGATCAGTGTACAGTCTCGGCCAGGACGCTCCAGCGTCGCATCCCAACCAATATCCGCCTTTTCGAGTGTGTGACACACTGACTACAGTGATAAACAGAGGATTGAGAGGGCCGGGTTTAGGTTTTTTCTCAAAAAAGCGCGTGGAGACGATTAAAAAGAAGAAGACATATTTGAAATGTCACTAGTGGTTTTTTTGAGATTGTGATGTTCATGGCACAAAGGCTGCGGCTCAGGCAGCACCTTTGTGAGCATTAAAATCACCAAATAGGTTTGGTGGTGAAGAAATTCTACCTCAAAAAATGTTTACCTGTAGCTTAAATGAGAGAATAAGACCAACAAGCTAACAGACTCCTTGACACTGTGATCATAGAGCCACATTCATGGGCAGTGCCAAAACACAAACAGCAGCTACACACAAAGAGACTAGTAATTCAAATGTCTCTCCTCTGCCAATCTGGTTGATGTGCAGAAGAGAGCAGCAGTGTGTACTGCCTTGGGCTACAATATCAGTGAATGCCTGAGTGTGAGGTCTGATATCACCAACAAAGACTTCACACTGTCATGCAAAGAGCGAGAGAAAACACAGGAGATGACAGGTATGGCTGGAGGCTGCTGTGTGTGTGTTAGAGACAGAAAGGTGGGTTTTTTTTCACTTACCTCCAGCCTGGAGAGGAGAGCCTTTATGTGGGGCATACTGGGATCTGAAAGGGGCTCCTGGAGCACACACAGCAGCAGACTGTCAGCCAGGGCGAGAGCTGGAGGAACATGGTGGTCCCGGCTCCCCAGCTGGGACGTCCTGGAGGGATAATGTTTATAGGTAGGTCAACAAAGGGATGTGATCCTCACTCACAACTTCGGATGGACTCGTATTTTTTTAAATTACAGCATTTGATAGCAGATATTGTAGTGTTTATTTTGGGTGGATTAAATTCGGATGTTATTCCCAAAATATGGATAAACCAGATTTTAAAGCTGTGAGTCGGCAAGGAGATGCCTGATGATGACTGTGTTCTTGGACAATATTTGGCCGATATGTTGTGAAGAAATCACCCAAACAAATGTAATATAATAGAGGAATGGCTGTGAAACGAAGTCTCACCATAAATAGTGGTTATTCCTGTTTTCAGTAACAACCTCCTGCTGCATCCTGACTGGACGCTCTCCCTGGAACTGAAGCAAACTCTCATAATAAAACACACGTAGAAATCCGACAACAGCGCCGCGTCCCGATTCAGTTCATGCCGCTGCTCTCACCCCGCCGCGTCGTGGCCGCAGGCAGCACTTCAGGGCATGGACACAACCTCCAAGAGCCATCCACAGCAAACACACGGCCAGGAGCCTCCAGCACACGTCCACCGGCAACAGAGAGGCGCTCGGCGTCCCCTCCACCCGGCAGATGGACCACACCACACCTACGGGAGCAAAGCTGTACCAGCCGGGTCTCAGTGTCCTCAAAGTCTGTAACCAAGACGTCTGCTGAGGCTGGTGAGTCGATGGGGTTTGGTTTGAACTGCAGGAGCCACAGAGAGAACCGTTAAAAAGCCACACAAAGAGTGAGAACTGCTTTATCGCAAATGAAAGAGAACACTATTCGTTGTTAAATTGACAGGAAAAGGGGATAACCTGTCTTGCAAATATAAATTCAAGAGAAACATTTTGGTAAAATCAACAAAGCCTTAGGTTCATTTCACTTTAACATCGATATTGGATCTTTTTTATGGGATATGGTCCCTGGAAATGTCTAATGCCTAATTTAAACCAAAGTTAGATTAAACATTGTGTTGAGTTTTGGAAGAAATATTTAACTACAGCAACAAGTGACTTCATTTGAAAGAAGTTTTTTCCTATGCTTCTCTTTTCATACTCTTTGGTCAATCTCGGGATCCAGGATGGAATTTAAAATAATGTTTTGAACGTTACTCTGCCACGCAACATGCGTCCATGATGATGGACCAGCCTTTGTGTCCTGTAGCGGAGATTTCTTCCTAAACTAGCAACGTGCTGTGATGAATGACAGTTCGGTTGCAGGTATATGTGAACACAGAAGTGTACCAAGTTGACAGATCTCGCGAAATAGCATAAAAAACAACAGCTTTTAACTTAAATAAGCATTTTTCCCTAAGGGCACCGGGTAGGCTTGTTCCTGTCAATCAAAAGCCGATGAAGGTAAGTTAAACGACACATGGATCCACCTACTTCTGCCGGCTTTGCCTCCTCTCAGCCGGCTCTCCCCCGCCGTCCTCTTTTACCTCCTCCATCCATTTACAGCCGTGCTCTCAGCCCGGTCTCCCTCTTTGTCCTGTAGCCTTTGAGGGGGACAAACGGTCAATCAAGGCACAGGAGCAGCACGGAGACATACAATGAATTGGTTTAACACCGCACAACTGCTTGGAATGTGATTAGTCCAACTTGTTAAACTGGTTCTACAGGAAGTCCCGTTTCATCGAGGTGGTGTTTGTTTTTTCCCTTTCCTACCTTGCATTCACAAAGGGAATGTGTGAAACTCGCTGATTGAGTGGAGGACAAGCCCTGCTCCGCCAGCTACACCTGGAATCACAGAGTTATTATTAGTTCACGACATGTGAACAGCTTGTCGGATTTGAATAGCAGTAAAATCTCCACCAGTGAGAGATTAACAAATAAACAAGAGATTTTTAACACTCACACAGAGATTAGGTTGACACTTGTCTCTCGTGTTTTAAAATAGTGTAAAATCGGCTCGTTTTAGTGGTGATACTGACATCTAGCTGTGAGATGTTATCCACGGCTCAAGACCCCAATCCACCTGAGAAGGACGTGCTCCCCGAGTATGACACCTTTTGTAATAAATTGAACCAAAAAGTGCACAGATATAAAATAATTTAATTTCTCAACACATAGACAAAAGGACAACGTCGCTGCTGTACATGTTTAAAATATTCCTGCAATATTTTACAAGTCTATAGACTAATATAAATATGGCCACATTAAAAGCATTTTACAATAACCTAAATTGTGTTTAGGTATTAACCGGTATATTCTTCAAGGGTAACCTAAAAGTACTTAATGAACATCAAGAGTACCACAAGTAATGTAATATGAGTTGCAGCAGTAGATGCCTTGTTGATGAACACATAAACAAGGCATCTTGCTTTCACAAGGTTTGAGCTATTCCTTCTGTGGAACTTTCTCCTTTCACTCTTCATCAGGATGGAAATATGACTCTGCTGTTCTTTAAACGCCAACCCCAAATGAAATACATGTAAATTATTTGTATTTAATAAACATATCATTACATGGAATAACACTGTGTGCCGACCTCTAATATGTTTTTTAACACTCTGATTACAAAGAAATACAAAATAGGACAATCCACTACGTGAATAATAAAATGTCTGAAACCATTCCAAAAGGAACTTAATGGACACAAATATCATTAGAGATCAGCAACATGATGGTAACATACAACAAACAAACACACAGTGTTGGGCACAAACACAATGGTTTGAAAGGCCAACCGGAGAAGGGTTTTTTTATACAGTATTTTTTCTACTTTTGCTCTGTATTTTTTTTCCAGGATTTACTTACAAATTCTATACTTTAGAAATTGATGGAGCTTTACAAAAGATGTAAAATGGGCTTGAGTGTGTGTGAGGACTGAGAAACAAAACATTTCCACCACTTCAGTAGCTCACACAGTAGGACTAAGATATTTTCTTTTATAGATGTGTACAGGACCTGTATTTAACATATATAAGATTGAATCTGCTGACAACAAGAACATATTCTAAGAAAATATTTTCCAAATCTGTATCGTTAAAGCAAGTGCAGTTCGGTCATTGTTTACATATTCTGTTAAAATGCAAACTTTCTCTCGCTCTCCCCTCACAAAGTTCTGGCAGCTTGCAACTTCACAGCTCATACACCCTCGAACAGACACATACAACTGTGCTGCCCTTCAAGTCATCCCCTTTTTAGTGCTGTATGTATCCATGTGCAACTGCGTTTGTTCCTTAACGAGCATACAAGCTTCTGAGGTATACGTGCGGATCAGTCTGTGGTTTGCAGAGTTCATCGCCGTACAGTTCAGGGTTTAGTGATGTGAACTTCACTGGTGCCGCTACCATTGGTGGTTGTGGTGATGATGTACTGGGTGGTGGCTTGCTGATTGGCCGGTTGCTGCTCCAGATGCTCCGTGTGGCTCTGCGTTGTGTTCTGAGGAACCGCCTGCTTAGTCTCCAGCTCATTCTGGCCCTCAGAGATGACGTAGTGTGTCTGCAGGACAGGGATGCGCATGTCTTAAGTTCCATAGTGATGGGTTCAGTTAGTGCCAGAAGCCACAAAGTTTATTAGAATTAGAATTTTAGGCCCATTTTTTATTTTTTATTGCTAAAACGGAACAGATCTGGCCTGCATACACGTGTCTAAAAGATGTACATACGTGTAGCTCATGTTGGCCAAATCTATGGATTTTTCTGACATTTTATATGACCTTAATGATATATATATATATACACACACACACACACACACGTTTTTTAAATACACTATTACTTCCTGTTTTCTATTAAAGTCCCTGAGAACAATAATAAATACCAGGCTGACTTCTGTCAGTGCAATATAATAAATTATACATTTTTATATTATATCAGAAAAAGAAAAAAAACAATTAATGATTCATGCGTTAGAACAGCTTTCGCTTCGGAAAAAGTATTTCTTCACAGGTGAAATGCATTTGTGGTAAAGTGACTAATGTGTTTTAAATCTGCTCCATGTACGACTCACCTTTAGGATCTTTTTTTAAATATATACTACATTTACATGCAGGACATATTTTGAAATTTTGAAAAAAAAAACCTTAAATAGAGCTTTCATCTGTAAAAGAGACCCATACCGTAGCTATAAAACATGGGTGAGAAAGATTATACGGCTCCCCTGTGACTTCCTAAACTACAGCCAAAGGTCGTAGTGGCTTTAAGCGAACAGGTACAGACTGAACTCACCGTTTTCACCTGGTTGCTGTTGACTCCGGATACAGGAGCGGTGGCCTCAGCTATCACGTATTGCGTGTGTGGTAGAGCCATCATCTGGATCTCAGACGCTGCCACAGTAAAGAATTGACATATTACCTTGAGAAGCAAATCGTACAGTACCGAGGCATTCAAAGACATTGGGACTGGCTGGGCAATATGGGAGCAAGCGGTAACTCACAGTAGCCTCGGTAGTTCCAGTTCCCAGGTATGTAAGCATGCTGCACAGCGCCCTGCTGCTGCTGCTGCGTGCTGGTGGTCTGCAGGGTGTGGCTCTGAGCTAAGGTCACAGGGGTCAGCTGGGTGGGACTCAGCTCCTGACTGGGCTGCTGGGAGGTGGGGCTTAGAGGCTGACCGCTGACCTAAAAGAAAGTGATGGAATGTTGTGTTTTCCAGCTTAACATAATGGGACCAACAAGATGTGTTGTTATCAGTCTGAGGGTTTAGGGTTTACCTGGCTGGCACCTTGTCCAGGGCCTGAAGCCTCGTTGACCTGGATGTGTTGTACCTGGATCGAGTGTTGGCTGTAGCCGTGAGGGTCGTGCAGTTGGCTCACATCTACTGCCGAGTGCTGGGAATGTGGTGGGGAAGCCTGTGAAATACAGAATAAAATACAATACAATCACTTCCACCCGGCACAGAACAAGCAACTTCAATTCTTTCAACCGCACGTTACATTTTCAAAATACAGTAGGAAATAAAAAGGGAATTTCATTTCTTTTAAAACCTACTTGACAAAACATCAAAGAGATTGTGGACAAACGCTCATCACAAATACCCAGAGTACAAGGTAGCACAGTCAAATTAGCGGTCAATCAGCGGCACATTAAAATTGCTAAAAAAAAAAAAAACTCCATCAGGTTGCAGATCTTACCGGAGCCACCTGCACCACCTGCAACTGAATGTGCTGCGGCTGGGAGAGGCCGCCTCCTGCCTGAGACACGGGGATGTACTGGATCCTCTGGTAGTCTCCCTGTGCTGTGCGGTAGTCTGTTGTCAGTGTTTGAGAGAGCTCCGTCATGGCCTGGGTCAGCAAATCTGTTGTCTGTGGAGAGAAATAATCATAAGTTATAATATCAGATCCTTATGAATTGATGCCCTTTATTGTCTTCTTTTTTCATTGATTCTGTCGCAGAGTCCAGTTTTATACATCATACATCATTTACACATTGAATACCATCACCAATTTTTGTATATTTACGCAGCACAGCACAGATTTTCATCAATCCACTGAGCATTGCTGCCCAGCCTGTATGTTTGTTACTCTTACCACTACAGCCTCCGCTGTGGTCCCGTCCGCACTGATGACGGCAGGAGCACTGCTGATGACGGCCGCGGTCAGAGGAGTCTGAATGTTGCTGACGAGTTGTGCAAACTCTGGATGCTTCTTCCTGATGTGCTGAACCATCTTAGTCTGGAGATACAAGCACAGAGCGTTATCAGATTGGATCAGGATTGTGAATGAGCTCATGTTTGTGGAACTGCTTCTTTGACAAAGCTCCATGCCGACCTTGCTGCTGTACTGTTTGGCACAGTGCGGGCAGCAGACCGGTGCAGTGGCGATGGTGCCGGTCAGCTGTGTGTGGGTGCTCAGCATGGGGTCCGGTTCACCAGGAGCAGCCGGACGCAGCTTCCGGATGCTGGGCGGCAGCTCTGCCCCGGGGTGGTTCTTCAGTATGTGTGCCTTCCTCTTACTGGCACTCTTATACACCTGCACGCAGAGATCCACCAGATTGATTTATTGACATACAGAAAGGTCACATTCAGAGTTTGAGGTGAAGCGGAAGTTTGCACTTCTGGTTTTAGGCATGCAACTTAATTAATAAATCCATTTTTTTAAAACAGCAATGACAGATCTTTTCAAAAAAATGATAATACACATAACCGAGGGGTGGAAACGAACCTTGTCACAATACTGACAGAAGTAGTCCCTGTTGGGCTTGATGATCGGCAGCGTGAGCTCTGGCACGTCATCAATACGCATCTCCGGGTGACGCTTGGATAAATGATTGACCTGTGATAAGAAAAATAAAGCAAAGTGTACTGGAATATCCCCAACCTCCCTGTCAACAAACAAAATGCTTTCTGTGACTCGTTGCTCACCAGCATTCCTCTGCGTCTGAATCCCATCATGCACACTCTGCATTTGAACATAAAGCTCTCGAAGTCCGTGGTTGGCACCTTCAGCTTGAGGGTTTTGGAGCGGTGGATTCGGTCTGCCTTCTTGGCCTCTCTGTCGGGATTGTGCATGCGCTGCATGTGCTCCCGCAGCTTATCTTTCCTCTTAATGCCACAGGAAAAGAACTTTGTGAGAACTGACATATCTGTTTAATACTTACTGTTATCTTTCAATGCGCCATCTATCCATATTACCTTGAATTGTTTGCCACATGTTGAGCACAGAAAGTCCTTGCGGTCGGAGTGGCGTAACATGTGCAAGCGCAGCTTGTCCGGCCGGCAGAAGGCCTTTTCACAGTCTGGACACTGGAAAATCTTCTCTGAATGGAAGCAGCGGATATGCTTCTTCACCTACGGAAGAGAACATTTCACAGTCCAAAATCTGAGGAAATAACTGAACTTACGGTTTGAAAATAGAATTTTCTTTTGCTTAAAATTATAGCCAGCTATGTTGAAGAAAACTTGACTAGGAAATTGAGACCGTAAACTGTTTACAGGGCTTAATGTTCAATGTTTACTAATAAATCAAGTGAGAAGTACATTTTGACTATTTTTCACCCCCTGCTGCATATTGAACGCTACGAAGGCACCTTCACATTGACCTTCTCAGACCCTTTCAGACTACTGCCTGGTTCTAATGGGCCAACTGCACGTTTTACTCACTGACCTGGATGAAGTCAGTAAATGTCTTCTTGCAGGAAGGACAGGTGAAGCAGCCGTTCACAGCATGCATCCCTACGTGGTCCTTGAGCAGCTCCAGTCTTTCAAAGGTTTCCGGGCACAAGAGACAAGAGTAGGACCGGTTTTCCGTGTGCACCAGCAGATGGTCCTCCAGGGCCGAGTCACTCATGAAGGTCTTGCTGCAGATGTGGCAGGAAAAGGCGTAGGCGTCCCGGCCGTGGACCCGCAAGTGCTGGTCCAGCTTTTCTTTGTCCCGGAAGGCCTTTCCGCAGTGGGTGCATTTAAAAGGACGAAAACTTTTCCTTATGAAAAGGTGCTGCAGTGCTGCATTCTGAAGAGGACAAAAGAGGAAGGGGAAATAATAGCAGGAAACCCCAACAGTGTTCACTGACATGGATCCGCCCTGACATTGGATGAGGCTGATGGATGCGAGTGTGCAGATCCAGAAATGTCCCCCGAATACGAACACCACGGACAAGGACAAAAAAATTATCTTTGAAGCAAATGTTTTTTTTGTCTGCCCTCCTCCTGGTCCTACCTACCTGCACATCCATCTTTGAGGCAAGCGCGCATTAAGGGAGAGAGACACACTTTTTGTAAAGCAAAAATGGCCACTACAACACCATGTAAACTGGTCTTAAGCGCTGTTGGAGATGGCTGAACACGGCGGTCTTACCCGTATCCTCTTGGCACGGCGCATTTCCTGAGACGTGAGGTGGCCTTCTGATTGGCTGCTCTGCGCTGGGTCCTCCTTCAGTGGAACAGGGGCGTCCGTGTCAGAGGGCGGGGTGACGGACTCTGAAACCGGCTCCCCTGCAGGAGGGATAAGTTGTCCCTCTGACTCGGTCCCGGTCGCGTCCTCAGACTCCATCTCCACCACCGTCATCCCATTCTCAGCTGCCTCCTCGCGCTCCTCTAGAGGCTTCTCTGTCAATTCCAGCATCTCCTGCTTGAAAAGTTAAATACATAACAATTTATTTGCCCATATCAATTCATCAAGGAAGCAACAAAGCCCAGATTGATGCAGCTCTTACTGTTGTCTTTTCCCCAGCGGCGTCGACTGGGAGATCCAAACGTATAAATTTAGGTGGGCGTCCCGGTCTTCTTCCGGTCCCAAATCTCTTCCGGCCTCTTCCTCGACCCCGGCCTTTGGATCTGAGGGGGAAACAAACAACGAATCGGTTCATTTTGGGCTCTGATGTGAAATAAACAGGAGCGGAAAATGTAAAATGAGATGAAGAAAAAAGTTTTGCCTGGTAACGGAGTTTAACTTGTCATCATGCATGTTGAGATGTTGCTGCAGTTGTTCGGAGCTCACAAAGCGGCGGTTACACTCGTAACAAGGCCAGTTCTTCTCTTGCTCCCGGAGCACTGAAGGAACAAGAGAAAGTGAGGACCACAAACAGAATACCTTCACATTCCTAATCTGCGTGATGAATAAATAAGAAAAGTGCAACACAAAAAAATAGATTCATCAGCAACTCACCTTTTCTCTCCTCTTCTGTAACATTGTAGATCTTCTGGTTGACAAACTCTGCATATGAGGCTGCATACCACACCTTAAGAGGTAAAGATCGTTGAGAAAACACAAATAACTGCAGACTATAATATACTGTATTTACTGGTGATGAGCGTTGCTTTCATTTCATTAACTATGACATCATTCTCATTTATCAGATTTGCCGGTCAAATCTACATGTGTGCTTCATAAACACACACACACACACACATTACATTGTTGGTGTGGAAGTTCTATAGTTTAAGAGAGGAAGACATGAAGCTCACAACAAAGGTGTCGCCGAGCAACTTTAGAAACAAGGTTTTTAATAAGGGCCTTCGACTTGACCTAGTTTTAGAGAAAATGTATTGCCTATTAAAAATGCTTTTATGGAGGAAAGATTTTATCGTGACAGACACACTAGATTTAAAACTGGCACATTTATTTGTTTGTCTAATAACACAATAAGAAGATGGTTGTTTATGGCGTGAATGATTCCGTAAATGCCATCTGTGTTTCTTTACACCCAGGCCAAATGAGCAAGCGGTATAAACAGCACGACACACAAACTGCACTACAGGACTACACGGTATACCGGCAGAAGATTTCCGTACGGTATGAATTTCTCATGCACCGCTCATACCGCCGATATGCCATAACGACTGACGTTGCTCTTCGGCAGGCGGCAGAATAGATCGAGGATCGCCGCTACTTGTCTCACGTGTGTTGAGATTGAGTCATGGTTCTAACAACAATGAAAACCCCACAACAAACACTTTGGCGAGCGGCTGTTCAAGCCACAACGAGCTAACACGCTAACTCACCGGTGTTACGTCCCTACTGGTTTTTGAACCTACTGGTTTGCCTACGCGAGCGTGTTTGTGTTCCCACTACAGCAGCCAAGGTTGTCTGCCTCGGTCACCTGATTCGTCACACATTCGCAAACATATTGCTGAAAATGTTCAAAATGCATCACATATCCATGGCAGCGATTACGAGTGTATAAATGAGCACTACGTCACTGAATGCATCACGTATGAAGAGATACATTGAAGAAAATAGATTTATTAAAAGATGGCCATGACCTGGATTCGAACCCTGTCGAGCAAAATAACAATGCGTTCTAAGACGGCTGCTCTGCATATTCTGTTCGGACAGTGACGTGCATCAGAGCCACTCAAAGACATTAATTTGAGAAAATATATATAATGAAAGCTCCCCACAAACTGGATTCGAACCCTGTCGAGCAAAACAACAAAACGTTTCTAGTCGACTGCGATAAGCCGTCGGCGACTTGAGGTTCAATGGTACTTTCGATTTTTCTCCATTTCTCATTAAATTGTACAACTGACCTTGAGCTCTTGTTTGGGTTGGATATTCTTGATGGATGTGTAAAAGATCTCCGAGCCGTACTGGTAGGCAACCAGATTCTGCTCCAGATGGTTCTGAGCAGGCCTCACAAACATCATCCAGTTACAACTCTCTTCATCGGAAAGATCCAACCACATGTCCTCAGACTTCTCTTCGTCTTTCTCAGCATCCAGCATGCGCAGCTAAGACAACGGGCAATAACAAGGAATAGAGATCAGACAGGGACCGGCAACCCGAGACCTTCAATCCCGCAGTACAATCTACATAATTAAGGAAAGCTTAAAAGTAATCAACCAGAGATCGGTCATGCAGGGCGCGGTTTACTTTTAGATGGATGTAGTGGTCCTGCAGTTCGCTCTGACAGACCAGGTGTCCCTCCACCGGACCGAACTGCGTGCGCTTGGGGATGCGTCTCTTGGAGAACACTCCGCCCAGGAAGCGATCGATGTAGAGGACCAGAGGCAGGCTGGCTCGGGCCTTGGACATCACGGGCCGGTTGGGGATGGGGTGCAGAGGGCCGTGCTTCAGGCACACCGAGGGGTTGGCACAATTACACTCGTCACACCCTGAGAAGCCACAAAATGTTAAATTCAATCAATCAATACGAGACAATTCCCACAAAAGAGATATAGATACTGAATAATAAACAATATTATTTTTTTAATCTACTCCCATGATATTGTTAATCAAGAAAAAATAATTGAAGTGCAGATCCAGAGTTCTAGTGGGTTTTTTTTCGCAAGTTCTAAGAGTTCTGTATTTAGACTTTGTTATGCTACGTGGTTATGGAAGTCAGCGAGCAGAGTGTATTAAATAAACCATTCTTGTCCTTAAGTCCAGGCACAGAGAAAAACTTGACATCCTCCGCTCTGTCCGCTCTACAACACGGGGGAGTCCTGACGGAGGACTTCACTCACAGAGGCTGTGGGGGTTGAATGATTGAGGCAGACGAGGCTCCCAGTCATCCATATCAGAGTCTTCATCTTCCTCCTCGTCAGAGTCGTCTGTGGAGTCTGTGGCCCCGAGGGGACTGATGGGGGGGTCCGCGATGTCACCCATGGAGGGGAGCGAATTGGACGCAGAAAGCTGCTCCTGTGTGTGTATTGGATCATTTTATAGTTTGAATACTGCTCTGATTATCTTTATCTGAGAAACGCTGAACTGTTCTCATCTATATGCTTCTCCACGTGCAACAATGACATCAAAATGTGGAAAGGGACTATTTTTACACCACCAAAGTATACTCAATTATAATATTGTGTGTATGCTAAAACAAACTTTGTGGTTGTACAGTCAAAAGAAATCCATCAACCATTTCTGAGGGACTCGCAGTGACGTCAATCAAAACGTTGACCTGTGATACTTATGAACTCATATTTGTCTTTCATGTCGCTTGATGTTGTCGCACAATGTCCTCACCTGGGAGACCGCCTCCAGAATAGCTTGGGGAGCCTCTGCAACATTGCTCAGAACATGCAGATTGGCAGCATTCATGTTCTGTCCGCTGGGCAACAAAACAGTGACCTGCGAATGAGAGGACATTGCTCCAAAGGTTGAAGACGACTAGGTGGCACACAGCCAGTGCACGACAGTACCTGGTAAACTTACCTGTTGAGTCGTGCCATCCTGCTGAATGTAAGCCACCTGTGGCTGGTCAGCAAATACAGTCTGAAAGGGAAGTCGTATACTTAGCTGTGGGATAATATCGCAGGGCCAAGTGCATGCTATAAATTGTATCAACTTGGCCCATTTGGAAATAAAGGAAAGTCTCAAGAGTTGATGCTTTTATTTTTAGTAAAACATTCCAACACCCTTTTCCATAAAAAAAGGCAGGGTCAACACAACACTATGTGCCATGGCATCCTTAAAACCCACCAACCCATCAATTGCTTAAAATACCAGTTGACAGTATGCCCTTGAAAAAAAACATCTGTTCTTACCTGAGTGCCATCTGCAGGGTGGATGTAAACCAGCGTGTGCTCCGCAGACTCTACAGAGGTGTAGGAGTTCCCGTCTGCTGTATAAACCACCTGCTGCTGTCCCCGGTCTGCCTGATCTCCACTGTACACAATCTGGGCCACTGTGCCGCCTTCAAAATGCACCTGCGAAACATGTGCAGGAGACACAAGGGCCCCATTAATCCACCATTAACGTGGTATATGTTTTTTTTTTTTTTAAACGGCGGCACGACTGTGTGCTTAGCGGATGGGCACGCGCCTGACTACTGACTGTATATTGCATGAATAAAATAGACTAGATCGGGTACAAAAGCTTCACGCACTGCTTTGATTATTTGCCGTTTCACGCTCGGAACGTTCAATGTCGGTACTGTAAAACTTTCAGTTTCAATCACTGAATGAAGCCTGACGTATTTGGGACAAGAATCACGACATTAAATTGCTTGCACAAAACTCTTGATCAGCACTCTGCATTTGTTTATTGTGGTCGTTGCGCAGAGAGCACGACGGTGAGAGAAAGAGAGAGAGGTGAGATGTGTGCGGGCGAGCAAGAGTTGCGGTTGTGGCTGTTAGTTCATTTATTTACTTTTGTGCAGGTAATATGTTGTTAAATAGGTTTAAACTTATAAATTACCTATACAAGTAGTTATGTCTCATTGTATTAATTTGTCCTGTTATTGACGTGCCTAATGCGCAACCGAATATATTCGAATATCTGTCTTTTATTAAAGCGAATATTCAAACGAGCAATTTTGACAGCCCTACTGCGGATGCACCCAGGCGAAGTGTATTCAACTGATAATTCAAGTGTGCTGTATTCTTTTCTACTGCAACGGACTGGTGGGTCATTGCTCTTCAGGGACAGTTCAGACCTGTGTGCTGTTGCCTGAATCATTGTCAGTAGTCTGACTCCACACGGCCGAGGGTTCCTGTTTGGTCTCCATGGCAGCACGTTGTCAGGCCTGTAGCCAACAACGTCACCTCTCACGTCACTCTTGAGGCGGGCAGGGACGCCTGTAATGCACACAAACTAGGTGACTGGGGATGATGAGTAATAATACGAATAAAAAAATGTTGTGATAAATGGTAAGAACAGGTAATTCAAAGTCAAATATGGATGGCTTGATTTCAATGTGCATGTGTGACTCTGAGGCGTTGGATTATATCGAGCATCGTCGCACAACAATATGGGGCTTCAAACAGTGCAATGCAAAGGAGTTATAGGCTCATCGAATTGTTTATGTGCACAGAGAAGCGGTTTGTCTGCAACGGAGAGGCTCTAAGGAAGCTTCTCTCCTGGCAAAGGGACACCGAATTCAACCGCACGTGCGAGCTGCAACGCACATTTTCCACGTTTTCCACACGCGGCGATGACAGCACGTTCACGCCAAAAAAAAGTAAAGCAGCGTGACAGTTCTGTTAGTTCTGAGCGGTCACACGGGATTCTCCGCGGGGGTACGAGGCAAAACAAGGTTACCGTTAGCCAGGCCGGGAAACAGTCGCTAAAGACACGCGAATATCGGCACAAAAGCACCCGGGAGATCTCACGGTTGTGAAAACTCATTCAGAAATCGTGTTGGTTTAATCGATAAAAAAATGCAATCCCCCCTATTTTAACCCCGCAGGTTGTCGGTCCCAACTGGACCATACCACACAAACCTGCGCTTTGGAAACCCGGGCATTTACCGCAGCGCAATTTAAGCATTACGGCCGTATAATCCCGGCGCAAGGCCGACTTCCGAGCTACACATAACCGTACAGACCCCGCGACGTGGGCTGCATTCTGCAATGTTTCACACGGTTGTATTTAATGCGGCAAAAGACCGAATGATTTGAGTACACCCACCCGTCCCCCATTCCTAGTTGAGCCCAGCCCTTCAAGACTACCATGAACAAGGAAGAACGGGCTCCATTTTGGGTGGGACTAACAACAACGGCGGCATCCGAAGAGAGCCACAAAAAAACAGAACATCTCTACCGGTTCAAATTCGCTAAAAAGTCCTGATCATTCAATTTATATGAACAGACAGACGAAAGAGTAGTCGATCTATATCAGTAGTGTTGAAGCCAATCCCTATTGTCTTAGATTTGTGGAAAGCGTACCAGTTGTTCTTACCTCAGAATGGTAGCTGCAGAGGCGGCTGCATTGCATATATTAACATAATCTGCCTAGCAACACGCAGTGGCGCGGCTTGTGATTGGTGGCGCTTTACTCAGGGACTGAAACAATACGTGATGTTTTAAAAGGTTACTATCCAAAAGCAGTACATATTGCTCTCGGAATTTAATTATATAGTCAGGTTGTTGACAATGTTATCGCCAATATGTTGATTAATCGTTCTCATGGCTTAATATTTCAGCCAATCATAAAAATGAAACCCCTCAGTCGTCCAATTAAATTAAATCTGCAGCGGTGCAGGGATGACGTATTTTTAAGGCCAACCAATGAAAACTATGAATATATTTTTGGGGTCAGCCCCGGAAACTAGCAATGTGTTCTTTCGCTCGAGTCGACATATTTTTTATTTTACGTTAGATTGTTGCGTAAGATACATGATCCGGTGAATACAACTCAACTTTAATCTATGATGACATACAAAATGGGAAAACCTCCCAAATCCCAGGTGGCCACATGAACAGGATTAGTACAACGTTATCGTTTGCCTTTTTAATATTGTCGGCATAAATCTATGGGGTCCGATCAGTCTCAATAATTGCAAATGCAAACAAAAGAATTCACATATATATTTAAATTACAAATAAATGTGACTCCCACAATATTGGTTAAAAGTTCGCCGAAATTACAAAAAATTCTGTCAACATATCCGGGAACCCAATTCTGACCTTTCACAATAAGACTTCCTGCATACACCTCTGAATAGTGCAATAACAGCTCTTTCTTCGTCGCCCCAGCATCGCACGACCAAGTCTTACTACTTTCTCTCATCAAAGTAACTTTTTGCAGTACTTAGACATGTAAATTACGTTTAGTTATATCATATAGTTTATCACTATATAATCATTTTTTCTTGTATGGTGACTAACCATTTAACTTCATGCCTCCTCAACGGTAAAACATATTAATTAATACACGAATTTAGTACTTAGTAATATAACATAATAAATAAAAAAGGGCAACTAGATGTGTTAATGATTAATGATGTGTTAATCGTCTCTTTGCTGTCCTTGCGCCGAAATGGTGGAATGAGCTCTCTGAAGACATCGGGACGCAGAGAGCCTTCACATCTTCCGCCGCAAACTAAAGACACACCTCTTCAGACTCTACCTCGACTAAAGACTAACAAACTGTAGCACTTAAATTGAACTTGTAACGTCACTCATCTATAGCAAATTGTAAATTGGCTTATTTGAGGAAATTGCACTTTCTTGTTTCTTGTTCTCCTGAGTTTGTACCCTATGGTTGAATGCACTTATTGTACGTCGCTTTGGATAAAAGCGTCCGCTAAATGACATGTAATGTAATGTAATGTAATGATTGTCTTGAACATCAACCCCGAGAACAAACCTTCTGATTTGTTGGCTGATTTTAGTCACTAAAGATGGTTGAGATCAAGTTACCATTAACATTGGAGTGAGTAAATTATTCTGTTAGAATATGTAGAATTTGTCATTTTGGGAGCAGTTAACACACATTTGTCTGATCCGTTTTTTATCATATTTATTTATTCATCTATCTAAACTGTAGGAATGTTGAAGGGCTGCAGCTCCCATGCTGCAGCGTGGCGGTTCATTGAGTTTCTGATTGACAGCGTGGGAGAGAAGATGTTGTCTGTCGTCCAGCAGCAGAGAGAACGAACAGACATTCGTAACTCTGGAATTGCACTTGACTGCGTCATTAGAGACGCTCACACGTCCCGATAAACTTGGGGTTTGAATTTGCTTTATTTGTAGAGAATTTAACTTGTTTGTGCTTTGAGTTGCCTGACTTCATTTTTTAGAAGCATTCATGTTTTAATCAAAATGTTCCATATCGGAAACATGTTCATTGACTAAATGTTCTCTTCTTCCGCCTGATGTCTGATTACAGGAGGAAGTGAGTCAACAATTGAAATCAGGCTTAAAATGTCGACTGAAACCATTCATTAAATACACAAACGCTCATTAACTCAAGATCATTGTTGTTTCACTTCATTCAAGTCAACGAGTAATAAAGAGCATGTGAATCTCTTTGGTCTGAAGAAAACAAGACGGATTCATTTGGTTTTATTTTTATTACAAATTTATTTTCATTGTTAAAATAATAAACAGACGACATATTTAACAATAATAATAACACAATCATTGAGAAAACATCTGAAGCAGTTCCTGAGAAGAGAGAAAAGAAGAAAAGTTATTAACATGTTAATGTTGTTAGTGTGTCTGTGTGTACATCTAATTGTTAGTGTGTATGTGTGTACATCGAATTGTTAGTGTGTCTGTGTGAACATCGAATTGTCAGTGTGTCTGTGTGTAGATCTAAATATTAATATGTCTTTGTGTACATCTAAATATTAGTGTGTGTCTTTGTTTAGAACCAGATGTTAGTGTGTCTGTGTGTACATCTAAATATTAATGTGTCTTTGTGTACATCTAAATGTTAGTGTGTCTGTGTGTACATCTAAATATTAATATGTCTTTGTGTACATCTAAATATTAGTGTGTGTCTTTGTTTAGAACCAGATGTTAGTGTGTCTGTGTGTACATCTACATATTGTGTCTCTGAGTAGATCTGTGTGTGTGTGAGTGTGGGTGTGTGTGTGTGTCATGCGTAGATCTGGATTTGCTCCTGAGGGGTTGACATGACGTCCTGATGGAGTCCTGACGGCGTCCTGATGGCGTCCCGTTGACGTGGCGTCCTGATGGCGTCCTGTTGGTCTGCAGACAAGGAGAAGAGACGTGAGGAGGATCATCAGGATGTGTCTGTGTGTACATCTAATTGTTAGTGGGTCTGTGTGTACATTTAAATATTAATGTGTCTTTGTGCAGAACCAGATGTTTGTGTGTTTTTGTGTACTTCTGAATACTAATGTGTCTGTGTGTACATCTAAATGTTAGTGTGTCTGTGTATACATCTACATATTAATGTGTATTTGTGTACATCTAAATGTTAGTAAGTGTCTTTGAATTAGAACCAAATGTTAGTGTGTATGTGTGTACATCTAATTGTTAGTGTGTCTGTGTGAATATCGAATTGTTAGTGTGTCTGTGTGTACAACTAATTGATAGTGTGTCTGTGTGTACATCAAAATATTAATGTGTCTGTGTGTACATCTAAATATTAATATGTCTTTGTGTACATCTAAATATTAGTGTGTGTCTTTGTTTAGAACCAAATGTTAGTGTGTCTGTGTGTACATCTACATATTGTGTCTCTGAGTAGATCTGTGTGTGTGAGTGTGGGTGTGTGTGTGTGTCATGCGTAGATCTGGATTTGCTCCTGAGGGGTTGACATGACGTCTTGATGGAGTCCTGACGGCGTCCTGATGGCGTCCCGTTGACGTGGCGTCCTGATGGCGTCCTGATGGCGTCCTGTTGGTCTGCAGACAAGGAGAAGAGACGTGAGGAGGATCATCAGGATGTGTCTGTGTGTACATCTAATTGTTAGTGGGTCTGTGTGTACATTTAAATATTAATGTGTCTTTGTGCAGAACCAGATGTTTGTGTGTTTTTGTGTACTTCTGAATACTAATGTGTCTGTGTGTACATCTAAATGTTAGTGTGTCTGTGTATACATCTACATATTAATGTGTATTTGTGTACATCTAAATGTTAGTAAGTGTCTTTGTTTAGAAACAAATGTTAGTGTGTATGTGTGTACATCTAATTGTTAGTGTGTCTGTGTGAATATCGAATTGTTAGTGTGTCTGTGTGTACAACTAATTGTTAGTGTGTCTGTGTGTACATCAAAATATTAATGTGTCTGTGTGTACATCTAAATATTAATATGTCTTTGTGTACATCTAAATATTAGTGTGTGTCTTTGTTTAGAACCAAATGTTAGTGTGTCTGTGTGTACATCTACATATTGTGTCTCTGAGTAGATCTGTGTGTGTGAGTGTGGG